GGAGGAGCCTGCAGGAGGCCCTCTCTGACATGGTGCTGTGATGGTACACCAACTGGTTTCAGAGGGCAAGTTCTAGGCTGATATTGCAATTGCCAGTTGGTGTAGCAGCGCAGCACCATGTCAGGGAAGGCCTGCCGCAGGCTCACGCACTCCGCCATCAGGGGCTACGTGCTTTGGCACAGCTACGGCAAAGGACAGATGGGACCTGACCCCAACCGGAGCCGCTGCTCCTACACTGGCCGTGCTGACAGCAAGCGCTAAATCCCAAACGCGCTCGGGTCCCCAACCGTGCGCAGACCGACATCAGGGGACACTCACCGTATAGAAGAGCGGCCCCAAAGAAAGGGAATGTACTGTAAAGAACGGGAATGCTTTGTGTCGGGATACATGGGGGAACATGTTACAAAAAATGTTATACTTTTTGTTGTTTGTTGTACCAAATACTGTATTTACAAATAAATATATATTTTCAAAAAAATGTTCTGACATGGGACTTGGAAGCCAAAATTTTCTGACCCACTAATGAGAGTGCTGCCATCTGAGCTGACATGGTAAGCATAGTTTCAGCATTAAACTATTATATTGCAGTAAATGCTTGTAAGAGGCAGAAACTAAAGATCTGTGGAGCAATCTTAGTTGATTATGAAGGATTAATACTATACCACGACCTTTATCAAACTACGTTTGCAACCGAGGAGTTGCAGTTGATCATATCAGACTTAAGGTGGAGATGTAGAGTAAAATCAGTATTAAATAATTAAACCAGGTTTTTTTTGTATTAGGTTTTACAAGGGCTGAAAAAATAATAATATTATTATTAAGAGCTTTTGCAAAAACTATCTATATTTCTGCACAAACAAGCGTTTGAGAAAAGCTTGATTTAACTGAAGACTCTACAATCCCACTCTTTGCTAATAGGAATGAGGATGCAGACAAATGTAAACAGGAGTAGAATTTCACAATTTTGTGCTGATAGACAGTCAGTTCGGTCTTCAGCCAACTCCGCAAATTTCTCTCCATTAAACCTAAGGCCCTAAATTCTAGCTAGTCTCAGCCTACAATATCCATTTATCTTTTAAGTTTATTGCATTTTGCCCACAAAATACACAGTTACTCCACTTTACAGTATATTCTTTGAAGCACTTTGAGGCGTCTCGATGACGTGATAAGGCATTATGTCAAACGCAAGGATTATTATTATTGAGACAGGAACTAATTGTGAAACACTCTTATGTTTAGTCTATGTTTTGGAAGCTCCTTTTGAAGAACTATGCAAAGCTTGTTTCAAAATCAAGACTGAATTTAAGAATTTTCTACAGGTTCCTGCAAGTCTATGAGATCTGTTCCCTTATATAATTTAGGATGTACAATTATTTTTCTATTCTTTTGTCCGTGTTTGCATACTCCTGAGCCTCGTCTTTCTCATGTCAGGGTGCCTTTCCAGGGGTTCTCCTCCAGTAACTCAACATGTGGAGTAGGGAAACTTGCCCAACATTTTTCCCTACCAGGAATTGAACCCAGGTCTCTTGCTTGCGAGCCAAGTGCTCTAACCACTGAGCTAATGTACAGAAAGGTATTTGGTTTCAGCGCTCTGAGATGCTACTCAGCGTAAAGTGCATTATATAAATGCAAGTTGTTGTTGTCGTTCTTTTGTACCCATTCCAAAAGCATGCCGTTGACATAGAAAAATTACATGAGTTTTGTCAAGGCTGTTAAATGCTTTGATTTTAATTGTTATTTTTAATCTCTTTTGAAATAAGGAGTTACAATCATCCTGTTCATAAAATAGTGCAGCACGTGATAAAACAGAGCATTGAATCAAGAAAGAAAATAAAACATTGTATGATGTTTTATTCAAATAAAATATTTGCAATTAAACTGCAGCTTGTATTCCTTATATTCTATTCTTGCTAGCTCAGGAGGTAGTGATGTAACAATATCTCAAAACACAACGCATCATTCATTTAATAATTCAATAAGCAGAAAATTTGTACAGGAATACTGAAATGTAATTGAAGAGATGAATAGGAGTTGCTGCTATGTTTTCTGCCTCAGATTGCTTTGCCGAGCAGCTTCCTCCAGTCTGGGCTCCAAGGTGACTTGCCTGGCAACGGAGTGTTGGAATCGAGTCAGCCCTCTGTGGCGGTCTCGGTAGTCCGGTTCCAGAGCCAGGCAGGTCTGCAGTATTCCAGGGCATTGGATTCACATAGAAAAATTGTGCTGATGACAGCACAGCCAGCCTGGCTCATCAGCAGGACCTGCAAAGCAGACCAGTCACTGTGGGCAAGGAGTCATCCCACTCAGCTCTCATTAACCTGCAACAACAACAAGAACAACAAAATTACATTTTTATAGCGCCTTTCATGTCGGGAGGACATCCCAGTGTACTGGACAGTCTGTGTTTCAGACCCGAACTGGGGTCGGAGTCGGGGAGGGTAGAGGGCAGGGGGGAAGGAGAGCGATCAAAAGCATGGTCGAAGAGGGTTTTGAGATGGGTCTTGATGGAGGCAAGGGAGGGGTTGAGGTGGAGGGAATGCGGGATGGAGTTCCAGAGGGTGGGGGCAGAGTGGCAGAAGGCCCGCCCGCCAATGGTGGGATGGGCGAGGCGGGGAATATGAAACAGGCTGGAGCCCGCTGAGCGGAGTAAGCGAGCAGGATGGTAGCGGGTTAGGAGGTCACAGAGGTAGGGGGGAGTAAGACCATGGAGGGCTTTGAAACTCAGGATCTTGAACTGTATCCTCTGCATGATGGGAAGCCAATAGAGTCGGGCGAGGATGGGAGCATTAGGGTCACAGAGCCTAGTGCAGGACAGGAAGCAGACCCCAGAGTTTTGGAAGATATGTAGCCAATGGAGGGAGGAGTTGGGGAGGCTGACAAGCAAGGAGTTTGCATAGTCAAGCCTCAATGTATGAGGGTTTTTGCGGCCTGCAGTGTGAGACAGTGGCGGAGCCAGGCGATGTTGCGGAGGTGGGGGAAGGCAGAGCAAGTCATGGCACGGATGTTGGACAGAAGGATACTTGAGAGTCAAACAGGATGCCAAGGTTCAAAGTCCCAATGGGTAGGGTGGTCCCAGCTGGACAAGCAGCGGGAAAGCTTGCCAGAACAGCAATATCAATGGCAAGCTACGTGGTTTTAGCTGGTTAGACTCCAGCAGTTGCACCAACACACACTCTGAGGTCCTCAAGCCTTGTCTTTTGCCAACCTGCACTAATACTTTCCAGAATTAGATAAGCAGGATGTGTTCTTCCAGGGAGAGAGTGTTCATTCCATTCCAGCAATCTATCTTTGAAATTTTCATGTGTAGATTGGAATGCATGAAATTCTCAGCTTGGTTTGGACACTCTTAAGCATGGTGATGGGCATCCGCATATGTCAGACACCCGGCTGACCAAACAAAAGTCTATTTTATCCCTCATGGATAGGAAATAATAACAACCTTTTTTTTGCATTGCCAAGAAACTCTGATTACTTAAGCTCTTAGATCAGATCGCCATGGAAGTTGTCCAATGTTAATTAAAATGGCACTTAGTGAAATACAAACATTCAGTTCTGCTATGATAAGACTCCTGATATGAGATTTATGAGATTTGTGGCAAACAATATTTCATGATTGCTGGTCTTAAGTGTATTATCCTGAAGTAGATGGTACAGGATGAATGCGAGACGCAAATCCAGATTAATGTTTAAGTGAAAGTAAAATGATCATAACCCATCAAGAGCCATTTCTTCGAGAGACCATGAACAATTCGGCCAATTATGGATACAACCCCATGTAGTTAGACAGCCAAAGGAAAGTTCTGCATAATTTCTCCCGAACCCCAAAGGTGATCAAGAACTTCAGAATTTCTATTCATCCTTAGAGCAATAGATTGCTCTCTGTGGATGGCAAATATAATATGAATAACCTTTGCATTTGATATAGTGCTTTTCAAGTTGGGAGGACATCTCGATGTCTTTCACAGGATTTACTGTAATGTATCGTGACTATGTATAATACAATACAATACAAAATTACATTTGTATAGCACCATTCATGTCAGGAGGACATCCCAAGGTGCTGGACAGTCAGGAATTTGGATAATAATAATAAAAATAATGATACTTGCTTTTGATATAGCACCTTATCACATCGTTGAGACATCTCAAAATGCTTCACAAAATATGCTGTAAAGTGGATTGACTTTTTTTTTAAGAGATTATTATCCTGGAAAGCAATCCACCAAACAACTAATAACCATGATCCTACTTACTGCTCAGTAAACAAAGGTCTGTGGAGTAAGGAAACTTGCCTCAGGTTTTTCCCTGCCCGGGAATCAAACCTGGGGATCCTCTAGGATGCGAGATGAGCGCTCTAACCACTATGCACATATATTGCTGATACAGACACAAGAACCATCTTGATCTATTAAATATTTGATAATTTCTGTCTATAATGTTCAAGTCTTCAGTCCCAAGGTATTTTTTCCTGTAAGCTCATGTGGAGCTTTATTTATAAAGAAATTATGTTGAGCTCAAGGCAGGATGCCATTCAATTCTGTACGAAACTTCAGTTAAGGCATATTAATAATAGTTCAGAAACAAAGTTAGACAAACTAAGGGAAACAAAGGCTGTATAATAATAATATAAAAATAATAATAATCCTTGCATTTGATATAGCACTTTTCATGTCTTCTAGATGTCTCAAAGCACTTCAAGGAATATACTGTGAGGTGAATTTACTGTACATTTGTGGGTGAAACGTGGCAGCCAATTGCACACAGCCAATTGCCCACAGTCGTGGATTGAGTGACCAAATTATTATGTATGTATTATTGCAGTGCAATACAATAAAGTCTATTATGTTTATCAGGATGTTGGCATAGTAAAATTGAATATATGATTTTTTGTAGTAGCTAGCCCTTGCACAAAGCCAAAACGTTATGATGACAAGATTGCAATAGGGAATAATAATAATAATAATCCTTAAATTGATATAGTGCTTTCAAGTCAGGGAGACATCTCAAAACACTTCATAAGATATATGGTAGACTGTCATGACTGGGTATTTTTTGTAGACATGAGTATCATTAGGACGAGGATCAATACCCTCGGAGGATGATGGAATGGGTGATGCCAGCTGGGAAATGGCCAAAACAAAATTCAAAGCTGAGATATTGAGTATGAATGGAACAGTGATAACTTTGGACAAAAGGTTGCTGGTATATAATAGGAGAGACTTGCAATGAGATCCATGGCCAAACTTGAAATGATGATTGGCTAATATTCAATCTATAGCATGCACAGACTATTTTACACATGTAAATATGCCCCACTCCTATTGGAGTGACAAATAGCTTATTAATCCATTGTCAGAACTTTCCCCTTTGTCAGAGATTGATCCACATTTTGGTTCAAGCCAATTATTGATCAATCAAAATCGCTATTTTTATTCAAAGAAAGAACACCCCTCAAGATGGAAAAGGAAAATATAAAATTAAATTGAAAAAACACAACTGAGAGGAAATGGGAGAATATGGAAATAAGGAACAGCAAACCACATTTATGCCTCGCAATTAATATACAAAATATCTTAAAGTACTTAATATTGTAAGTACTGGATACCAAGAGTTGAAGAAATTCAGTAAAGAAGACAAGATGAGATGAATCCAGAAGTTGTGCTGGAGTGACATTAGGTTTAAACGTTTGCAGAGAGTAGGAGGAGATGAAAATTGATTATTCACTTTTGTGGAACATTGTAAAATTGTCTGCCACTTTTGCTTGTACAATACACAGTCGCTACACTTCACAGTAAATCCTTTAAAGTACTTTGAAACATTTTGATGATTCGGTAAGGCACTACATCGTATGGTGGGATTAACATTCGGTTTATTATTAGGAACTGCATGTCCATTTCATACTTTAAAGTGACCCTTTAAAGTTTTTTTAGGAATCAGACTTTAGTGGGGATCGAATCGATTCACTCATTACATTTGTACTTAGTGGTAATTTCCCAGTCTAACCACCTCTGCTATGATTTAAGTCCAGGTTCAGACTGGTTTCCACACACAAATAAGAAGTCCTTGACTTAATCTTTGAAGATCTGCTCTGCATTCTGCTTGACAGCATGAATCAACTGCAATTATAATTCTGTCAACTTGGATCAGTGGACAGCACTCTTGCTCTGTATCAGAACTTTCAAGACTCACTGTGGGACTTGAGCTAACAGTTTAGACTGGCACTCTAGTGTTCTCGGAGTTCTGTTCAACCCTGAGCTGTCCTTTCTTCCTCATATCTGCGCCACAACTGGCACCGCCTTCCATCACCTCCGAAACATCGCCAGACTACGGCACTACCTCACCCCTCATACTGCTGAAACACTGGTCCACGCCTTTATGGGAACTCCCTCCTCGCCGGCCTTCCTGGCACCTCCCTCCACAAGCTGCAGGTCATTCAGAACTCTGCAGCTCGTGTACTGTCCCGCACCAGGCTTCGGGACCACATCACTCCCACCCTCGCTCACCTCCACTGGCTCCCCATCCCCCAGAGGATCGAATTCAAGATCCTCATCCTCAACTACAAGGCCATTCACGGCCTTGCTCCCTCCTACCTCTCCGACCTACTATCCCCCTATCTACCTGCCCGTACCTTCCATTCCTCTGGCTCCGGTCTGCTCCACATCCCCCGCCCCAACCACCCTACCATCGGTGGCCGGGCCTTCAGCCTCTCAGCCCCTGGGCTCTGGAACTCTATCCCCCAGTGCCTTCTTCTTGCCTCCTCCCTTTCCTCCTTCAAGGCCGGTCTCAAGACCTTTCTCTTTGACCGTCCCTTCAGCTCCCCTCTCGACTCTCTACCCCCTCCTCGCCCCCTCCCTTCCCTCCCCTCACCCTGACCATTTCGCCCCTGCTCGGGTGCTGACCCAACTGTACAGCGCCTTGGGACGTCCTCCCGACGTGAAAGACGCTCTATAATTGGAATCTTGTTGTTGTTGTTGTTGTTGTTGCAGTATTGGAGCAGCTCTGGTTACTGTTATTCGCATGAGATGTCAAACCAAGGTATTGCCTGCTTGTCCTCAGTTGCACATCAAAGACTAAAGGACATTATTCACAAAAAGGGAAGGGATTTTTTTTCCCATTGGCCAACAAAGCTCCACTTCAAAACTTGACAGTCACTAGTATTACCAAATGCCATGTTTGCCCACAAACACAAATTCTACGAAGTGCTTTGACATGAAAAGTGCTATCCAAATGTCAAGATTATTATTATTATAATAATTACTGTAAAATGTTTTGAGTCATTTCAAGATACTATGCAACATAAACATGCAAAATGTTTCCTTCCAATTGAGAGCAAGCTTTCAAGAGTCACATATACATATTGCTGAAGTACAATTCCATTTGTGTTTGCCTCTGGAACTCCATCCCACATTCCCTCCGCCTCACCGTCTCCCTTGCCTCCTTCAAGACCCGTCCCAAGACCCTCCTCTTCGACTGTGCCTTTGGTCACCCTCTTACCCCTCCGCTCCCCACCCTCCACCCTTCCTGATCCCAACCACTAGCTTCGGTGTGGACTCCTGACTGTCCAGCGCCTTGGGACGTCCCGACGTGAAAGACGCTATACAAATGTGATCTGTTGTTCTTGTTGTTGCTTTCATATTCCAGAGTCAGATGAATGGACACAAAATATACCTTATATACTGTATGCTGTATAACGGTAGGGAAGGAAGCTTTTCAAATAATCCCTCCAAAAAAACAAAAACAATAATAAATTGGTCATTTTCAATCCATGACTGTTTGTGGGACATTGCTGTGCGCAATTGGCTGCCGCGTTCGCCCACAAATATACAGTCAATTCACTTTACAGTGTGTTCTGTGAAGCGCTTTGGGACATCCTCCCGACATGAAAAGCGCTATATCAAATGCAAGGATTATTATTATTATTATAGTGCACCAGTACACTCTGCAAAAGAATGATTTAGGCTTATGAACCTGCACTCAGTGAGTTCTGGGATATTTTGCAGAAGTAACGAAGTAGAAAATGACAGCTCAGTCAAGGCATGCTGCCCATCTCCACTTCCTGTGAATGGATAAGAGCAGAATTGGCAAAAGCGTGGGTACAAATTGCCTGCCTCGTCTCTCAGTTCCTAGGACATTATGTCGTTCACCTCGAGAAGGGGCGAGACTGTTGCAAAACAGTGTAATATTGAAAAAAAATCTGTTGGCATCAGCAATGATGCCCAACTGGGAATTACTGAAGAAACCACAACATATTCTTCAATGACTGATGGCTGGTGTCGGTTTTCAATGGACACAAGTGAATAAGAAGGTTTCACAGCAATAATAATTTTAAAAGCAGTTCCCATATCTCTCTCTCTCTCTACATATATGTAATTGTGTGTGTGTGAACTCTGCAAGTCTTAAAATATTACTGTTGTATGTCATTTTTTCTAACAATGGAAGGTTTATTTTATGAATGATTCATAAGCATTTTATACCCCCAATAATTCACAACCTTTGCTTTGTAGCTTCTGGTTTGTGAAATTCATAGCAAAGAATGCAGCCCTCAATTCTTGCTATTCACTGCAGTTAATAATAAACAAAATAATCCTTATTTGCCGTAGTGGCTTTCACATCAGGTGGATGTCTCAAAGTGATTCACAAGATTTACTGTAAAGTGTAGTGATTGATATTTACCAAACATAAGCTGCAAATTTGGTAAATTGTTGAATTACCACCGACATTGGTTTTCTGTTGTTCTTAAAAGAAGTTTACTGAAAAAACTGGCATCAAAATTAAAGCTGTATTAAAGATTTGCCAAATTCTGAAAATCTGATATAGTACATAAATAGAAGTGAATTTTCTCCCCAAAATGAATCCAGTTTGCAAAAATCGTAAATTAGGCCCTATTATATCTGTATTTTTACATTTCTAAATAATTAAATATTGATTAAATGGAAGACAGAACATGTGTACAATATAATGTTAAAGACAAATAGCACCCAGCCAGACAAAACTGCTCTGTGCAAATTGGTTCCGTGCTCACCCACAAAATACCCAGTGAACTGTACCCTACAGCAAATCCTGAGAAACACTTTAAGACATGCTTCTAATTTTCAAGATGAGGTAGATAGATACTTGTTTGATCAGGGTATTAAGGGATATGTGGCAAGGGTAGGTAACTGGACTTGAGGTATAGATCAGCCATGATCTTATAAAATGGCAGAACAGGCTTGAGGGGCTGAATAGTCTACACCTGTTTCTATGTCTGTGTATCTATGTCTATGTATCTACATATGAAAGGCGCTATGTCAAACGCAACGATTATTTATTTTATTTTTGAAATGAATGACCACATTTGTATGGGGGTTTGTTCCCTGGTCTGTTTTTTTAATGATTCCATGAGATCTTTGAAGTCCTCCTGAAAAGCTAGTTCTCATCCAAATGACAACAATTCCCACGATGCCACGCCCCCCAGTACTGCACTGGAATGTCGGCCAAGACTATGAGATCCAAGTTTCAAAGTGGAGTTTGAACCCACAACTTTCTATCTCAGAGAAGTGTGTCTTGACCAGCAGTCCCCCAGGTAAATATTGGTCATTCACTCCATTGCTGTTTGTGGGACATTGCTGTGGGCAAATATTCCGGTATAAAAATAATAATAATAATAAAAATAATCCTTGCATTTGTTATAGTGCTTCTCATGTCTTCTAGACGTCTCAAAGGGCTTCACAGAATATGCTGTAAAGTGAATTGACTGTATATTTGTGGGTGAAAAAAATACACAATCACTACAGTAAATCCTGTGAAGCACGTTGAGACATGAAATTTCAACGGCGCGATGAGGTGCTATATCTAATGCCAGGATTATTATTATTATTGATTTAGTGCTAGTGCTAATTTACGGAACACTTTAAGAATATATCCAATGTTACACAATTTCCGGTTCTGAAATATTGTATGTCAAGATTTTTTTAGATTTCTGTGGAGCTGACCATTTGTCAATTCATTCTTCAAAAAAACTCAGGCAAGAAGGAATTTTTTATGTGACTTGCTTCCTTTGTAAAACTAAGGCTCTTTTATTCGTTATGCTCCATCGGTTATTTTCATTAATAATTTGCCTTCAATCTCCAAAATGTTTTGA